GGGATCAACAATAATTATTCTTCAAGAATGAGAGTTCATCAACAACAACAACAACAACAACACTACAACAACACAACAAAAACAACAACAACAACAACAACAACAACAACAACAACAACAACAACAACAACAACAACAACAACAACAACAACAACAACAACAACAGCATCGACAACAACAGTCAGTTTACCAGCATTGGCGATGCTTCCACACGCAGCGTGCGACCATCATGATAACCATCCCCATCATGAGGAAATTGTTCTATCGCGGGAGTCCGATATTCCGATTCCCAGATCTCTCGCCCAATGAAGTCTTGCAAACACCTCCTCCGATTAATTTCAACATATCCCACCTCGAAAACACATGTCCGCGCCCTGCTGCGCCGATGCGAGACCGCCAGTGGAGCCCCAGCCAAGGGTAAAGCACAAGGAAATATCGAGCGACAGGATTGGCTTGGTGGGAGTTCGGGTTGTCGGCGGCGAGGCAAGGACCTGGCCCTGACTAGGAAGGGAGGAAGTCTCGAGCAGGGATGCTGTTATTACTGGGAGCGGCGCCACTGCAGAAGAGAGTAGGGCGCTAGTTCAGCGTGAAACATCACGAAGTCTCGAGCGGGAGCCCTGATTATGTTGGGACGGCGGGTGTCGGCGGCGAGGAGGAACACCGCCTTGAGTAAAAAGGGAAGAAGCTTCGAGCGGGAGCGGCGGTTTTGTCGGGACGGGGGCTGTCGGCGGCGAGGAACAGCACCGTCTTCAGGATAAAGGGAGGAAGCCTCGAAGGGGAGCGTTGTTCTTGCTGGGGCCAGCGCCAATTCAAAAGAGAGCAGGGCGCCAGTCCAGCGCAAAACGGGAAGAAGTCTCGGGCGGGAACGCTGGTTTTGTTGGGGCGGCGGTTTTCGGCTGCGAGCAAAAGCACCGGCTCTGAGCAAAAAACAAAAAGGAAGTCTCGAGCGGGAGCGGGGAGGCGCCGATGAGAGAAAGAGTTGCGCGCCAGTCCAAGATAAAACGGGTAGAAGTCTCGAGCGGGAGCGTTGGTTTTGTTGGGGAGGCGGCTTTCAGCGGCGAGCAAGAGCACCGGCTGTGGGTTCCCCAAGCAAAAAAAAATTAAACAACAATAAGAGAGTCTCGAGCGGGAGCGTTGTTGTTATTGGGGGGGGCGTTTTTGGCGCCCCCCCAAGCCGCTCGAGCGTGTGCCTATTTTTAACGAAAATGTAGCTGGCGCCGAAGCGAGAGCGCCAGAGCGCCTGGGGGGGTCCAACAATAAGAATTGTTTTGTAATTCTGTTATTGCTGGGAGCGGCGCCAAATCAAAAGAGAGCTGGGCGCCAGTCCAGCGCAAACGGGAAGAAGTTTCGGGCGGGAGCGCTGGCTTTGTTGGGGCGGCGATTTTCGGCGGCGAGCAAAAGCACCGGCTCTGAGAAAAAAAAGGCAGTCTCCAGCGGGAGCGTTGTTCTTGCTGGGGGCGGCGCCGATGAAAGAAAGAGTTGCGCGCCTGTCCAAGATAAAACGAAAAGAAATCTCGAGCGGGAGCGTTGGTTTTGTTGGAGCGGCGGTTTTCGGCGGCGAACAAAAGCACCGACAAAAGAAGTCTCGAGCGGGAGCATTGTTGTTGTTGTTGGGGGGCCGGTTTTGGTGCCCCCCCAAACCGCTCGAGCGTGAGCCTCATATTAAACGAACATATAGCCGGCGCCGAGGCGAGAGCGCCAGGGCGCCTGGGGGGTCCAACAGTAGTGCTTGTTTTATGATTAACACTCAACAACAATAACCATTTTAAGACTGTTCGCTTTGATCTGCTCGAGTGTCTGTTAACGCGTATTTCCCAAACCCTCGATACCCGCCCTCTTCGTTTTCGATCGCACCCCTTTTGAGGGATATATCTTTCTTCCCTGCAGGCCGGGCCCCGGGAAGTGGCGGGGCGGCCGCGGACACTCGGCCTGGCCAGCGGCAGCGCTGATCGGCGGCAACCCGACCCCAAGAGGGACGGACAGGGGACCGCCCACGACGACGACGACGACGACGACGACGACGACAACGTCGACGACGACGGCGGCGACGACGACGACGACGACGACGACGACGAGCGAAAGCGAGAGCGAGAGCGAGAGAGAGAACGACAGCAGGGCCACGACGAAGTAGGCCACGAAGGGCGACAGCGGGGACACGAAGGGAATGCGTATGGAGCCACGAAGAACGCGAACAAGCAGGGTCCTGGGTGGCGTTGACGCATGCAGCCTGTGCCAGTGGAGCCTTCGGTGGAGCTCCCCATGGGGCCACGAAGCGCTGTGCTGGGTGGCGTTGACGCATGCGGCCCGTGCCACTGGAGCCTTCGGTTAAGGAGCCCGGAAACGCTGTCCTGGGTGGCGTTGACGCATGCGGCCTGTGCCACTGGAGCCTTCGGTGGAGCTCCCTATGGGGCCACGAAACACTCTCCTGGGTGGCGTTGACGCATGCGGTCTGTGCCACTGGAGCCTGCGGTGGAGCTGCCTGTGAGGCCACGAAGCACTCTCCTGGGTGGCGTTGACGCACGGGCCTGTGCCGCTGGAGCCTTCGGTGGGACCACGAAACGCTGTCCTGGGCGGCGTTGACGCATGCGGCCTGTGCCACTGGAGCCTTCGGAGGAGCTTCCGATGGGGCCACGAAACGCTGTGCTGCGTGGCGTTGACGCATGCGGCCTGTGCCACTGGAGCCGTCGGTGGAGCTCCCTATGGGGCCACGAAACGCTGTCCGGGATGGCGTTGACGCATGCGGCCTGTGCCACTGGAGCCTTCGGTGGAGCTCCCTGTGGGGCCACGAAACGCTGTCCTGGGTGGCGTTGACGCATGCGGCCTTCGGTGGAGCTCCCTGTTGGGCCACGAAACGCTGTCCTGGGTGGCGTTGACGCATGCGGCCTGTGCCACTGGAGCCTTCGGTGGAGCTCACTATATGGGGCCACGAAACGCTGTCCTGGGAGGCGTTGACGCATGCGGCCTGTGTCACTGGAGCCTACGGTGGAGCTCCCGATGAGGTCACGAAACGCTGTCCTGGGTGTCGTTAACGCACGCGGCCTGTCCCACTGGAGCCTTCGGTGGAGCTCCCTTTGGGGCCACCAAGCGCTGTTCTGGGTTGCGGTGACGCATGCGGCCTGTGCCACTGGAGCCTTCGGTGGAGCTCCCTGTGGGGCCACGAAACGCTGTCCTGGGTGGCGTTGACGCATGCGGCCTGTGCCACTGGAGCCTTCGGTGGAGCTCCTTGCGGGGCCACGGAACGCTGTCCTGGGTGGGTGAAACGCAGGGAGGTGACGAGGATGATGGGAGGAGGGAGGAGGGGGAGGAGGAGATGAGAGGAGAGGAGAGGAGAGGAGAGGAGAGGAGAGGAGAGGAGAGGAGAGGAGAGGAGAGGAGAGGAGGGGTGACGCGGGGCGCTGTCTCTTCAAAACGAAGACCCAGCACCACAGGATGGTTGGGAACAATGGGTCCGCGCTCCCGAAGCCGCGACCCCTCTTAAAAGAATGAGGGATCCGCCGAAGATGCCACCAAGAGGGCCGAAGAGGGCCCCAACACGGCCCGAGCGGGCCCCAGCACAACCCAAGGAGCCCCAAGACTGCCCCACAGGGGCCAAAGGCAACCCCATGGCGGCCCACATGAGCTCCGTGAGAGCCCCTCAAGAAGTGAAGATGAAGGTGACACCTGTGACGGCCTTCCCCTTCCTCTTCCTCATTATACTAATCCTTCTCATCCTCTTCCTCCTCCTGCTCCTCCTCCATCCGCCTCCTCCTCCTACTCCTCCTCCTCCTCCTCCTTATCATCATCAGCATCATCATAATCAGCATCATCATCATCATAATCATCATCAGCATCATCATCAGCATCATAATCAGCATCAGCATCAGTATCAGCATCAGCATCATCAGCATCATCATCAGCATCATCATCGTCATCGTACTCGTCAGCATCATCATCAGCATCATCATCACCATCATCAGCATCATCATCTGCAGCATCATCATCATCATCAGTATCAGCATCATCAGAATCAGCAGCAACAGCAGCATCATCAGCATCATCATCAGAAGCATCACCATCGTCATCATCAGCTGTATCAGGTTCAGCTTCATAATCAGCAGCAGCATCAGCCTCATCATCATCGTAATCACCATCAACATCATTAGCAGCAGCATCATCATCAACAGCATCAGCATCAGCATCAGCATCACCATCCTCATCATCATCACCATCATCATCATTATCCTCGTCATCATCATCATCATCAGCGGCATCATCATCCTCCTTATCCTCATGCTCATCCTCATCATCACCATCATCACCATCATCACCATCACCATCACCATCACCATCACCATCATCATCATCATCATCATCAGCAGCAGCAGCAGCAGTAGCAGCAGCCTCATCCTCATCCTCATCCTCATCACGGCTCTCCCAAGCTTGGAGAAGCGAGGCGTCACACGTGACGTCATTCCGAGCTCGATCAGTCGGCACCCAGAATTCTGGGTTCGCACCGTGGCGGCACCGGCCGCAGGCAGCTGAGTAGATCGGCGATAGGCCCCCGACAGCGAATACGCACATTCCTGGGCAGGGCAGGCATATCCGTCCCCGATCGGCGATCCATGGGCTGGCTTTCGGGTCCTAACCCAGCTCTCTGGCAACCCTTCGGGACGGTCCAGGCACCGCCGGATGCCCCTCGGCGAGGCGCAGCTGTCGAAACGCACCCCGATGCAGGAGAAACGGCAGGAACCGACGACAACGTCCGGCAACGTCCGAAAACGTTCGGAACCGTCCGAAGGGCCCCTGGTTCTTTTCGCCCCTCACTGAAGGGAAACTGGGACACACAAATAAATACACACTAATAAAAGGATTCCCCATATTTTCCAATATTTTCTGGGTTTTTGTCTTCCCCCCCACTTCCCATATTTTCCCATATTTTCTGGAACATCTACGATTAATTGTGTCTGTGTGTTTCTTCCCCTCCTGACTCACGTTGCCCCTGGGGGGTCGCCACCGCGATCCTCCTGCGCGACGCGCTCCGCCCGCGGCGCCCGCCCGTCGGCCAGCGCGCCCTCTGGCCGTGGCGGGGCCCGCCCGCGCGCCTTGCGGCCGCCGTCGCCGCCGTCGGCGCCGTCGGCGCCGCTGGCCGCCGCTCGACGCTCGGTCGCCGCCGCCGCCGCTCGTCGATCAGTGGCCGCCGCCATACGTCGATCGGTCGGCGCCGCTGGTCGTCGATCGGTCGCAGCCGCCCATCTTCGGTTGGCTGGGGGGGAAACGGCATGAGCATGACCCTTCGGAGATCCGCGCGGATCTCCTGCACCGGCGCGGGCCCCACCTGGCGGCACCTCTGGCGCCACTGGCACCGCCCTTGGCGCGGGCCAGGGGGGTCCAGCGCCGCTGCAGAAGCTTATGCCTACGCCATTTTATCTGCTTCGGGTCGTCGGTTTTCGTCGGCGGTCGTCTTTCGTCGAAGGGGGCGACGGCGGACGGCGGCGGCGGTCGGCGGCGGTCGTCGGCGATCCGTCGTCGGTCGACGTCGTCGTCGGTCGTCGCGGTCTTCGTCGTCGGCGCTTGGTTGTTGGCAGTCGTCGTCGGCGGTCGTCGTCGGCGGTCCGCGGCAGTCGTCGCCTGCGCCGTCGCCGTTGTCAGTGGCCGTCGCTGGTGGTCGGTCGATGCCGGAGGAGGAGGAGGAGGAGGGGAGGAGGAGGAGGAAGAGGAGAGGGGGGAGGAGGAGGAGGAGAGCAGGAGAGGAGGAGGGGAAGAGGAGAAGGCAGGAAGAGGAAAAGGAGGGGCAGGAGGAGGACCGCCGCAACCGTCGGCGGAGGTCGATCGGTCGTCGGTCGTCGGTCGTCGATCGGCCGTCGGTCGTTCGTCGTCGCCGCCACCGCCGGCACAGGTCGTCGGTCGCCGTTCGCAGTCGTCGGTGGTCGGCGGCGGCGGCCAACGGCGGCCGGCGGCGGCAGGCGGCGGTCTTCTTCGTCATCGCCGTTACCGCCGCCCGTCGTCGATCGCAGATCGTCGATGGTCGCTGCTATTATCGTCGCTGGTTGTCGTCGGCGGTCCGCGGCGGTCGTCGGTGATAATCGTCGCCGTCGTTGTCGTCGGCGGTCGTCGATCGTCGCCGACGCTCGTCATCGACAATCGTTGGCGATCGTCGGCGGCGGTCGTCAGTGGTCGTCGGTGGTCGTCGGTCGTAGGTCTTCGAAGGTCGTCGTCGCCCGTCGCCGTTGTCGTCGTCGACAGTCAATCGACGGTATTCGCTCGTGGGTCGTCGGTAGTTGGTTGTCCCTCGTCGTTCGTGGGTCGCGGGCCGTCGCCGTCATAGTCGCGTCGTCGTCGTTGTCGCTGTTCGCCGCGAGGGAGGAGTAGGAGAAAGACCCAGCGTAGAGGAGAAAGGAGTAGGAGGAGGAGCAGAAGGAGGAGGAAGAGGAGGAAGAGAAAGGGACGAGGGGGAAGAGGCAGAAGGGGAGGAGAGGGAGAGGGTAAGGACTGGAGAGGGGAAGGGAGGAGGAGAGGAGGGAGGAGAGGAGGAGGGAGGAGGGAGAAGGGTAGGAAGAAGAGCGGGAGGAGGACAACCGACGTGAGCTCGCGCCACATCTGACATGCTACCCCTCCCACCCATCCCTTCCCACTGCGTTGAACCCTTCTCTGCCTGCCGGCTGGGGTGTCCTAGAGGACTTCGACGCTCACATGACAGCTACAGGATGTGATACATCGTTTGCTGCACCATCGGAAAAAGAAGGCTTTATGTTTGATTCTAGGAGAGGGAGGGGGGAGATGAGCAAGAGGCGGGGGAGACGAGGATCTGCAAGCAGGAAGAGGTGGGGGAGGAGCAGCAGCAGCGGGACCAGTATCAGGAGGAGCAGGAGGGGGAGGAGGAGGCAGGCGGCCCCAGCATCGAATCGATAAGCCGGATCGGGTCGACCAGAGCATCGAATCGGCAGAAATCGGCAAAAGCCGGCAGCCAAATCGAAATCGGCTGAAGTCGGCAGATCCGAGCCCGATCGAGTCGGAAACCGGACCGCGTCAAGCCGGATCGTAATCGAAATCGGACCTGGGGGGCGGGGGGTTGCACCACCCCCCCTGGGGGGGGGGGGGTTTGGAACCCTCCCCTGGAGGGGGGGAGTGGTTGGACCCCCCCCCCTGGGTGAGGGGTGGGTTTTTGGACCCCCTCCCTGGGGGGGGGAGTTAGTTTTCCAGCGTGAGCTGTCGAACCATTGATGGCTTGAGCCATAGCGTTTACGGATAGACGAATAAACATTCAAACATATCTCAAACATCTCTGATGGTTCTGAAGCCTCTTACCCCGAACTCATACACACAATCTAACTCCGATGCCTGTCCTTTACAGAACCGTAGGAAAACAAACACAGCGGAGCGTGGAGCGATCCACAACTGCTCTAAACATACAGCTTAGCTCTATCTCGATAGCTTCTGTACGACATGCAACAATGCTTTTCGAACATCAGGCTGGCTTGCTAGGCTAATGTGAACACTCCTGTGCTTTCGAGCTTTATCGAGGAAGCTGGAGGTAGGACGAGTGAGGAGCAGCAACGCACGGGCAAACGCTCATTTCTCCTCATCACATGACTAAACTCATGTCTCTCTCGCGGGTCGTCCCCACGACTGCAACGCATGTCGTAGTAGACGTCGTGATCTAGCTACTCCTGGAGGTTCTCGATCTCCTTCTCGGTAGCTTCCGGGTGTTGTGCTGCTCTCTTGTGCCGAACTGCTTGGCCCTCGGTGAGGGTGACCTTCCACTTGCCGGTAGTGCAGTACAGCAAGAGCTGATCGAACCAACCTTCCTTCGTGAGACCGTCGGCTAGCATGATTCTGGTTGGAACGTGTAGTAGAGAACGAATACGATGATGAACCCGATCTTCGCGAAGTGCCATGATGGCCACTCTCTGGGACTTGTCAGATGGTATGCCGCGGCCACCTGTGATCAGCTCGAAGAGGTCCATGCAATCTGTCACCGCATCATGCGGTATGATCGTGATATCCTTCTGGCTTAGCTCCAGCATGTCATGCGCGGTGATCGTGGCACGCGGAGGCAGCAGCATCTGGCAGAACAACTCTGTGAGCCTTGCCGCGATCAGCTGACCCAGCTGAGTACATCCGATGGCTGAAAGCGTCTCCGCATGCGATGTCGAGTGAGAAACTCTTGAGGCCTTGCGAGCACTGAAGAACAATGTGTGCGCATAGCCTCCAACCTTAGACAGATCCTGACCAGTGATCCACTCGGGCGTGTCAATCTTCAGGTCGTCATGCATCATCATAACGAACTTTCCTTCGTACGGATAGCAACTCTTCTTGCTTGCATGCCCGCAGTCGTGTATGCTGCAGAGCCTCAGTGGAAACGATACTCGATGGTAGTGCAGGCCGTTCATCTCCTTCGTCTTGCGAGCCTTCGCAAGTACACGATTTGCCATCTTCATATGCTGGACTTGAGGGCACACCATCTCTGACTGCAACGAAACCACATCATGAGCAATATCTACTCGCGTGAGGCATAGCCATAGCAAACTGCAGACCAACGACCTGAACTGGTGGTGCTCGTACTCGTCCAGCTCCTGGAGGTCCTTCTTGATGTTGTACGCGTTCGTGAACTTGGCCTCCGGCAGCTTCTCGAGGTAGTGCTGCTGGTGAACCAGCAGGTGTCCTGGGGTGAGCATCTCGTGCCTCATGCCCAGGTAGGTGAACGGAAGGCCTGTCCTCTTCGGGTTCCCGAACTTCTGTCCGAGCTTCTTCGCGATATGGTCGAGGAAGTCCTTCGTCGCTGCTAGAAGAAGATCGTCCACGTGAATGATACACAGCGATACAACCTGCCAGCCATTGATGATCATCAGGAAGCACTCGTCATGGGTGCTCATCCTGTAGCCGATGTCCAGCTTCAGGTAGTGCAACAGCGCCAGCTGCCACAGCAGAGGAGCGTCCACCAGGCCATATAGCGCCTTGAGGCACTTCAGGATGAAGTGTGGAATATCTCCATCCAGTACTGTGATCTTGCTCTTCGGAATGTTCCTCCAGTGCCTCCAAATGTTCGCCGGCGGGCGAAACCAGACTTGGCGCGCCTCCTTGACCTCATGGCCTAGCTCCTTCGCTTTGGCCACCACCTCTGAGAACTTCAACCCTTGAAGAAAAGCTGTTGAGATGTCGAAGCTCTCGAGGGTCAACTCGAACTGCATGGCCAGTGAGCAGAGTAGCCTGTGGCTTAGCCGTGAGGCTGTTGACGAATGGCGGCTCACCGTCGTCTTCTGGCGATCTAGAAAACCGCGACCGCAGCACCTTGACTTTACAATACGCTTCTGCCGATTCTTCCACTTTCGCACCCAGATGCCGTCCACGACGTTCGTGGCATTCGAGGACAGGTCGATCTCGAAGACATCGTGGCTGTACAGCGACACTGCTTCCTCGTAGTCACCGATCTCCACGACATCCCAGTTGTCGATCACCTCTTGCGGCGTGAGGAGATCATCAGATGAGACCGAGAAACACTGGTCCTCGCGAATGTCGTAGTAGAAGCACATGGGCCTCGTCATCGGCCCTTCAAGTACTGCGAACGCCTCTGATGCCGTCCAGGGCAGCTCGCCTCGCTCAGCTTGCTGACTGAAATGTAGGATCTGCTCGGCGTCGGCAATGGCATGCGCGAAGTGTTCCTCGTCGAAGTGTGGCTTGAAACCAACTGGAGCCACTTTGCGCAGAGGCTGTCCTAGTCGGTGCTCAGCGTGGTGCACATCGAACCACACCTGGTAGCTGTGCATCTCGAGCTTCTCCTGCTTGTCCTCGTCGACCTTCTCGCTTGTTGCCGGGCCGTAGTCGATAGTCTCGTCGACGTCGGCGGGCTCAGCGATGGGCAGGACTGGCTCTGGTGGAGCTGGGGCTCCCGATGATGTCGATGCCGCTGAGGCACGAACTCCAGGCGCCACTCGATCGTCGGGCGGAGCGTCTGGTGCTTCTCGCTTATGCGGTTGCGTTCTGGCTGCAATCGGTGATGCTGTTGATCGATGTCTCAGAGATTATTGACGAACTTGTCGGTCATGCTCATCGTGCTGGGCTCGTGGATCTGGAGCAGGTCCATAGTCTCTTGTGCGAGACCTAT